GGGAAAGACAAATGGTTGATGAATCCACACTTGGTTAACTGGCTCTATGTGTGAACACTGGCTTCAAAAACATCTTTCCTTGTGGTGTATTTGTTAACATGTTTAACTTTCCCCAACAGCATGTCGCTTGGTTCACTGACATGCAGGGCTATTTTTGGGCAGGAACGCACAGGAACGGAGTTCCGGCTGGCGTTAGAGTTGGCCATGCCCACTACACCCAAAACCTCTGTGTGCATGGCTACAGAGGGAAGGCCTGGAGAGCGCCCCCTGTGGTGACTCCAAGGCGGGTGGGCCTGGAAGGCGAGTGGGCCAGGGGGGCTCCAAGGGCCAGCTTGCCCGCGCTCCCCGCAGCCATGGGGTGCCCGGGCAAGCCAAGGGAAGGCATGGTTGTGTGGCCTGATATGCTAATGAACTGCACTGTCAGGGTGTGGCCTAATATGCTAATATGTTTCTGCTGTTGGGTGTGGCCTATTATGCTAATGAGTTCCTGCTGGGCTTTTTCTACAAAAAAGGGCGGGGTATAAACCCAATCTCTTCTTCTTCTTCTTATCAGTATGCTTTCTCCCATGTATTTGCTGTCTGCAAATGGCGGATTGTGTAGGCTTACCCATGGGATATAGTAGTGAGTTAGATTGTGTAGCCAACTCTAGGCTTTAAACTGTGCTTCTAAGAATCCAGTCTTAGGTAACTGTGGCTTTTAACTAACTGCTGGCTTTTTGTATGATGATAAAAATTGTTACAATACATAATAGGAAAGTGAGTGGCTCATGGATTATGGAAGAACATCTTTAAAAGTTTGGACTTGTGTAGGCTTACCCATGAGACATAATAGTGGGTTAGATTGTGTAGCCAACTCTAGGCTTTAAAGTTTCGTGTAGCCAGTATAGTGTAGTAGTTAAGTGTGTGGACTCTAATCTGGGAGAACCGGGTTTGATTTCCCACTCTTCCACTTGCAGCTGCTGGATGACCTTGGACAAGTCATAGTTTTGTCAGAACTGTTCTTGAAAGAGCAGTTTCTCAGAGCACTCTCAGCCCCACCTACCTCACAGGGTGTCTGTTGTGGTGAGGGGAAGGGAAAGAAATCCAATTTCTTCTTCTTCTTCTCCTTAAACGGTGTGCTTCTAAGAACCCAATCTTAGGTAATTGTGACTATTAATTAACGACTGGCTTTTTGTATGATGATAAGAAGTGGGTGGAAAAGTGAGTGGCTCATGATAAAAATTGTTACAATACATAATAGGAAAGTGAGTGGCTCACGGATTATGGAAGAACCTCAAAAGCTGATAGTATTCTGGAAAGAAGAAGAGGAGGAGGAGGAGGAGAAATTGGATTTATACCCTGCCCTTCACTTGGAGTCTCAGAGTGGTTCACAAACTTCTTTCCCTTCCCCTCCCTACAACAGACACCTTGTGAGGTAGGTGGGGCTAAGAGAGCTCTTTTAAGAACTGCTCTTTCAAGAACAGCTCTGCTAGAAATATGGTTTGCCAAAGGTCATCCAGCAGCTGCAAGTGGAGGAGTGGGGAATCAAACCTGGTTCTCCCAGATTAGAGTCTACACACTTAACCACTACACCAAACTACACCAAAAGGAAGAGTTGGGAAAATGGGAAATTTTCCAGTTGTATCAACCACTCACACTGTGATTTTTTTTTTTTTTGGTTGGGCCCAACTCATCAAAATAATAGCAGTCCTTTTATATAGCATTTTCAAAGCATTTCACATATACTGATGAAAGCTTTACAATGATCCTGTAACATAGCTTGATGCTATTATTATTCATATTGAAGAGGTGGAGAGCTACAGCAGAATGAATTGTCCAAGGCCACCTAATAAGTCCATAGCAGAGGAAAGATTCGCACCAGAGACTTCCTGATTTGGAGCACAGTCTCTTAGCCACTATATTAAATCAGTTTAGAAAAAGAGCAGGTATTGAGTAATAGATAAGATTGTGAGCTGTAAGTTAGGAAGTCCTGAGCTGTAGTCTCATCTCTATCACAAACCCACACCATGGCCTGAGACAAGTCACTATTCTGCTAGCCTAAGCTCTCCCACTATAATATGGGGACCTTAACAATACTCATTTCCCTGACATGGATGGCCCAGGCTAGCCTGAACTCCTTAGTTCTCATAAGCTAAGCCGGGTCAGTCCTAGTTAGTACTTGGATGGGAGATGAGATGACCAAGGAAGTTCAGGGTTGCTATGCAGAGGTAGGCAATGACAAACCATCTCTGTCCATCTCTTGCCTTGAAAACCCTATGGGGTTGCTGTAAGTTGACTGTGACAGGATGACACCTTCCACTACCACCACCAATAGTACTCATCTACTTTGTTGGTGATGTGGTCATCAAAAGTCAGATATAATGCAGATTTTGGGGAGATGTGCTAAGATAAAACTATCTTGGAAATAATTTTGGGAGCAGATTAAAAATATGGTGGTTAGTGCTAAAATCTTATTCTTTACCCTGGGATATATAGAAATGTAGTTGATTCTGATGACTAGGAAATGGTGTCACGTTTGATAGTTGCAGCAAGAATACTAAATACACAAAATGGAAAACAACGATAAATACTGATTCTGGCTGTTTAAGGTTCAGGATATTGCATCTATGAATTCAATCCTAAACAGAGTTACACCCTACTAAACCCATTGATTTTAATTGAAAGTTATAACTCTGTTTGGGATTTCACTATAAACTGAGCATTATTATACAACGAAGGAATGCAGACAGTTGATTTATTAGAAACTAACTCTTGTCTTGGAAGGCTGAGATAGTGTTGAACAGGAATAGGAAGATAGGTAGGAGTAGGCTTAAGTACCAGACCCTCTGCAATCTCTACCTGTGTGAAGATGTTGATGTGTGTGAGACTCGAATCTGGCCTGACCAGAGTGTGTCCTTTCCCCTTTCCCCTTGTCCAGGTGTCTGTCATTAGTCTTTAACTGAGAGCTTTGGCCAGCTGCTAGAGATTCCCTGTTGTAGCATGAGTTGGCTGCTAGCTCTTTGTTGCCAGCTGATGATGTTATCAGCAGGTGACTAGCAGTCTGGCCCATAGCCACGGTGGGGCATTTGGGGGCAGAGCCCCACACCCACAAGCCCTGCCCCACCCCTTGAGGATGCCAGACACCTCCAGACACCCCCACCCTCCAGTGTGCTGAGCCCAACAGCGGCAGCAAGACCGGGGAAAGGGAAGCCACCCTGCAGTTTCTGATCAGCTTCACTCCCGTGGATCAGCTGTTAGGTTTAACAACTGATTGGAGGGGAGTGAAAATGACCAGAAGCAGCAGGGCAGCTTTCCATTCCTCCAGCCTCTCCACAGCAGCTGGGAGGCTGGGGAAGGAAAGGAAAGCTGCCCTGCCCTTCTGTTCAGTTTCACTCCTTGGCCAATAGCTGTTAGGTCTAACAGGTGATCCGAGGTGGGTGGAATACAATTCAGATTTGAAGAGCTGCAATTCATGTTTATTTTATTTTTTATTTGATGTTGTGTCTGCCCCACAAGGGAAAAAATGCCACACAAGCAAAAAAAAATAATCCTGGCTACGGGCCTGCTAGCAGTTGTTGCAGAAGCTGGCTGTGAGGGCTGGCTCCTCAGCTTCCCGATCAGCATGGGACCCAGTGGGGAGCAGGAGTCTTGGCCTGCCACATTACCTGGTTTCCGCTGTGAAGACTTTTCTCTCACTAGACTAGGTAAGTGTGGCAGGTCTGGGGCTGCTGGGGTGGAGCTGGGTGAGGGACCATACCTGGTCATAATAAAATACTGGGAAAGGATTACTGAGATAATGAAGGTGATATGCTTTAAGCATTAGAAATGTGTGATGCAAGTACTGTTTTTGTTTTTGTTTTGAACAAAGAAGTGACTTTTATAAGAATATTATGGTGTTTTTTTAATATCGTGTTTTATAGGATGTTGAAAACAATATCAGTGGTATGCTAAGAAGGCAGAAGATTACTCCAGAGAATCAGCAGTAAGTGTGATATGAGCCAAGATGAGCTTAATTTGTGTAAGAGGTCTCTAGAACTCATCCTCTGCTTTTGGCATCAGGACTTAGGTTAGCAGTCAGACCCCTCCTCTCACGGAGGGGCAGTCTATAGACAGAAAACACATAAACACCCTTCTATGCATATTTTATAGGATAATGGGTCTCCCAAGATAGGTTGCCTTACCTTGGACTGATCTCATCAAGATTTAGCCTTGCTTCCCCTTGCCCATTTACCCTAATTATGCAGCACTTAACACTATTCACAAAACCTAGTGGCTTCCTGAGTAGTACTCAAAGGGTCTTCAAGAAACGTAAATACCTATAGTTCACCTCGGGTAAACCGATCAAGGTTTCTCTTTCATTATTGTCCAACTCTGGAGAACCAATCAAGGTATTGTTTTGGGGCAAACACATCAAACTTCCCCAGGGAACATTTTCCCTATAACTGCAAGCATGCTGTTCCATAGCTGTGTGTGTGTGTGTTTTCAACATCAACCTCACATCCCCACTTGTGTGTGGGCCTCTTCCTCCTTCAATCTGTGAAACACTTGCCATTTTGCCTCCGTGGACCTCACCCTCTAAGTCTGGCCCCGGTCACACGAAAGCTTTTGGGCTGGGAGAGGGACGGATCAGGGGCGCAGCAAATGGGCGCGATCCCACCGCAACATCTGGGAAACGTTGCGCACCCGTCCCCGATCCGGCCCTTCAGGCCGAAAAGCCGCATCTAAAATAAACCACCTACAGAGGTGGACTTACCAGCACGGCCGCATCAAGCGCGGCCGTGGGATCGCTGGCGCGTCCTTCTGCCGGCGCATCCAAGACCCCTGGCCGAACTGTGCGTGCTCACACATGTGCAGTTCGGCAGCCTCCGTTTCTGTCTCGTCGCTTTCTCCCCGGCATCTGATCGTGTCGGGGAGCAACTGCGCAGCGGCTCACGGGATCTGTATGATCCTGCCGCCGCGTGTCTATTTTGGTGCGGCTTTCAAAAGCCGCACATTGCCCATGCTTCCCCCCTCCCCCCGTGTGGCAGGGACCACTGGTAACTATTGCCTTTCTGAAATCACTTTCTTCCACTTCCTCCCTGATTTCCTATTAGCTAGTGTGTGTGACCTTCTGTGTGTGTTTTGCCTTTTTATTTTTAGTTCAATAAAAACCCATTCCAGTTTAACTTCTGACTGGTTTATCTGGAGAGTTCTCTAAGGGAAAAATCCCCGTAAACATTGGTGGTGATCTTGGTTACCCCCTCTTGCTTTGTCTCCTTTAAAGCAATTTTTCCCCAACTAATTAGGAGACTGCCTTTCTGAGTAACATTAGGTATGGCATATGTGTACATACAATAATGACAGAGGAGAGCAGTGTTCCCTCTAAGATGAGTTAGTGTCAGCTAGCTCACAGTTTTTTAGCCTCCGGCTCACCCATTTTTGTCCTAGCTCAGGAAGGATGGCTCCAGAGCAAACTCATTTATGCAGGAGCCAAATCGCTGGCTCACAACTTTAATGCCAGTAGCTCACAAAGTAGAATTTTTGCTCACAAGTCTCCACAGCTTAGAGGGAGCATGGGAGGAGAGTACCCATGAACAGGTTCAGATATGTTTCCCTCGCTATAGGCTTCTTGATAGAAAAGTATTGTTTGCTGACAGATTTGATCTCCAACATCTCCATATGCTACATTTCATACCTTGATTATGAAAGCTTGTTTCATCATGTGGTCATCACCCCCTCCCTGCAAAGGCAAGTTGTAAATGGTTTAGTCATTAAGAACTGCTCGGTTATGGAACAAGAGAATAGGTAATTCCAGCCTCCGCAATGCTAACTTTTTGAGATATCATATACATTTAAAATTACTCTAATACTGTAAGCCTCCCATCAGGGCTGGCTCCAGCTTATTTTGCACCCTAGGCGAGGATCCCTTCTGGGGGCCCCGTGCACCCACCCATTTTCAAAAATAAATGCATTTTAGGAAGAATGAAAAACACAAATAATCAAGAAACTCCCAGAGTACAGGGCCGGGTGCAGTTTGGTGCCCCTAAGGGCCGTCCTGCTCTAGGCGATCGCCTAGTTCGCCTAGTGAGTGAGCCGGCCCTGCCTCCCATCTGCATCTCTGTCTCTGAAACAGCTGGTGAGAATGAAACTCTGTTGGTCAAGTGAAAAAGACTCTGACTAATTAGTGGCCATAACCACAAGAACTTTGCTAGCCTGATCTTCCAGTAATGGGTTATTGCTCAGTCAATTAAAGGCTTGTTGAAGGCAAAGGAGGAGCCCAGCATGGGCCGGTATCCAGCGCTGTGGAAGGAGAAGTCAGGTCTGCCCGTGCCAAGCCGTAGCAGACAAAGGAAATTTACATGAATGGGAACAGCTTGTCTTCCTGAACAAATAATGGGAATAATTATATCAGAAGCAAAAATTTAGCAGCATTTTGAAATCATTAAAATATGGCCATCCCAGAGGTTATTAGAAATAAAATATTATGGCAATTACATGTAGATAATACTGGAATACAAGGTTAATTAGTCTCATTTATAGGCGGTTAATTATTAAAAGTAATTAGCCCTAAGACAGTTAAGGAAGTACCCTCCCTAAATAGTTTTAAATATGCTTTTAAGACTGTTTTAAAATTTACTCCCAGCAAAGGGCGCATTTAAGCTCTTTTAAATTGTGCGGTGCCTTGGGATATTTGCATAATAAGACAGTTTATGAATGAGAGAGCTCCCAAAATTTGCCCTCCTTTTATTATGATTCTCATTTCAGGAGCTGGCATAACTCTTCTCCATTATAGATTAGAGAGACTGCAACACTGTGAGGAACAGGAGAATCAAAGTCTGTCTTGGAGGCATAATTGAAGGAGGTTGTCTAATTGTGTGAAGTCAGAACTGTATCATCTTTTTTTTTTTGCCCTTGGTTCCTTCAAGCTTATTTAAATGACATTAATTATCAGCAAGGCATAGATTAATAATGCAACTATGCAGTCCCCAAAGGAGCAACATCCCAGGTACTCTGATGTTATCCACTGAGCTGAAGGAAGAATGTGTGGCCCATGTCTATGGCTGAGTCAATATTTAAATACATGTGTTATACCCAGCTGACTTAGCTTCTTTTGCAGACTATCCCTAACACAGAATCATAATTTGCACAAGCACAGTGTGTGTGCACAGGCATCTGTGAGTGTGTCACTTGCTGGATCAGGAATCCAAAGGCATTAATCAGATGCATATCCAAGTATGCATTAGAATGCACATACATGAATATGTAGGGATGGTTACGAATCAGCTCATGAACCTAAGTTTGTGATGAATTTTGGCTGGTTTGTGGTTTGCAAACTGCAAACTGCAGTTTGTAAACTGAAGAGCTGCCATGAACTTCCATGAACTTTAAGGTGGTTTGTGGCAGTTTGTGAAGAGCAAAAAGCTTTTTGCAGGGAAACCCCTGCTTTCTGCTCCCTGCTGTAGCCATGAACCATAAAATGAACTGCAAAAATGTGGTTCATGTCCATCCCTATGAATGAGTGCTGTTTTCTGTACAGCATTGTTTTCAGTGTGTGCACATTTGAATGCAGATCCCCAATCTACATCCAGGTGCAGCTAGGCATGTATAAGATTTATTTTAAATAACCAAGGGTTTCATGGCACCTTAAAGACTGTCACGCTAATTGTAGGATAAGCTTTTGTGAGCAAGAATCCACTTTGTCAGAGAGATTTGACAAAGTAGGCTCTTGTTCACAAATACTTGTGCATTGTGTTAAGTCTCTTTGGTGCTATGCAACCCCTTGTAACTTTGGCTGTAGCAGACTCTTGAGTGCAAGACTAGATCTAATGGAGGGTAGATTTAAATTGAGCCTTGGGAGAAGAGCAGATTGACAATGACACCTGTTACCTAGGGAGGCAGAAGTTCTTCCTTACCTGAGATTCTCAAGGAGAGTATGGCCAGCAATCTGTCAGGAAAGCTGTTATTTTGAATTTCCTGCATCCAGCAGGGATCTGGACGAGTTTCTAGAGTCATTTCAAACATTATGCCTCAGTCTTTGTTCCGTCATGCAGTCTCCCACGTAAGCACTGACAAGGCTGAAATCTGCTTAGCTTAGCTATGGGATACAAGCAGCGAGTGGATGTTCCGCCCAAATTGCCTGCAGAGTAATTAGCTGTAGATGACATTTTAAGTGTGAACCTTGGAACCAGCACTTCTGGAAGATGAAAAGCCTTGGGTCTTCAGTAGGTGGGACATATAGTAGCAAAGCAAATACTGAGAGTACATTTCTGCAACACACCTTCACCATATGTATCTTGCATACATATGGCATAATTGCGAGGCGGCTACAGATCCATCTTGAAGATTATGATGGACACAGAACATTTTTCTGTAGTCTATCCCACTCCCTGAGCAGTAACTGAGATGGTTCATTATTAGGGATGGGTATAAACTGGTTCATGAGCCAAAATTTGACATGAACTTGGCACGATTTTTAGTGCCTGAACTGACGTCCAGGAAAGGCACCTTCCCCAGACATTTAACAGACTTTTGCCTGGTTTGGTTCGGCTGTTCGGGCCATTTCAGCCTAACAGTGGATAGGTGTACCTACCCTGCTGTTAGGCTAAAATGGCTGCCAGCAATTTAAACATAACAGCGGTGAGAAGGTCCACCTATCAGCTGCTAGGTTTAAATGGCTGCCAGCCTTTTAACTCTTCCTGGGTGATCTCCCTGTTTCTCCTGGCTGCAGCATGCCATGGACGAGAGAAAGGGGGAGCCAAACTGCCTGGTTCAATTTGGTCATTTTTGGCTCAGTTCAGGGTTTGGTTTAGTACTTCCCAGAATGCTGAACTGAATTAGAATTATTGGGTTCGTGCCCATCCTTATTCATCATTTCTCTTCTTTGGATTTCCTAACACTGAGTCTTTGCAGAATAGTGACTAGATGAAACAGAAGAATAGTAATTTTGTAAAACATCTGAGGTTACCCATATATGAAAATGTGAAAATGTTTTGTTGTGTTTCTCTGA